GCATCAGCATCATCAGCATCAGCGGCAGCAGCACTGTCATCATCATCATCATCAGCATCATCATCAGCATCATCAGCATCCTCAGCATCATCAGCAACATCCTCATCATCAGCAGCATCAGCATCCTCATCATCAGAATCAGTATCATCTTCATCATCAGCATCAACATCAGCATCGCCATCATCAGCAGCAGCAGCATCATCATCATCGTCATCATCAGCTTCGCCGTCGTCAGCAGCATCATCATCTTCATCAGCAGCAGCATCAGCATCAGCATCATCATCAGCATCAACATGATCAGCAGCATCATCATCATCATCATCATCGTCAGCAGCAGCATCAGCAGCATCATCATCATCATCAGCAGCAGCATCGCAATCATCATGATCGTCGTCGTTAGCATCATGATCAGCAGCAGCATCAGCAGAGCATCATCATTCTCATCATCATCATCATCATCGTCGTCATAAACATCGCAATCAGCATCACCATCATCAACATCATGATCACCATCATCATAAGCATCAGCAGCATCATAATCATCAGCAGCATCATCATGATCATCAGCATCATCGTCACCATCATCATCATCATCGTCCTCATCATCGTCAGCAGCAGCAGCAGCATCATCATCATCGTCAACATCATCATCATCGTCCTTATCATCATCAGCAGCATCATCATCACCGGCATCATCACCATCACCATCAACATCAGCATCGCAATCACCATCACTATCACCGTCACCATCACCATCATCATCATCGTCTTCGTCGTCATCATCAGCATCAGCAACATCATCATCGTCATCATCAGCATCGTCATCATCATCGTCATCCTCAGCGTCAGCGTCACCGTCACGGTTATCATCACCATCAGCAGCATCAGCATCACCATCGTCATCATCACCAACATCATCAACATCATTATTGCCACCATCTTCATTAGCAGCATCAGCATCATCATCGCCATCATCGTTGACGTCGTCGTCGTCAGCTGCGGCGTCGTCATCATCGTCATCATCATCAGCATCAGCATCAGCATCATCATCATCACCACCACCACCACAATCATCATCAGCATCATCATCAGCATCATCATGATCATTATCATATGTTGCCTGCCCTCGGTCAACCCCTCCTCCTGCTCTTCGGCACCGAACACTCCTTGATGGCGTCCATCAGCACGTCCTGCTCGTCCGAGCCGAGGTTGCACTGCTTGAGCGCGGCCGGCAGCTGCATCATGGAGAAGGCGACGGTGGTGCCGAACTGGGCCTTCTTCTGAGAGCCGCTGATGTTGTCGATCACGTTACCGTCCAAGTCCTGGCGGCGGGCCAGGCGCCGCGCCGGACTGCGGCGAGAGACTCTGGCGGTGCGCCGCCTGCCCCGAGCGGCGCCCGCGCGGCCCGCAAGCCGGCAGCCTTCCGCAGGCGGCGCCCCCCGGTCGACCCGGAGGGGGCCCCTCGGCACGAGAGCACGGCGGCGCCGTGGCTGTTCGGCACCCGCTCCATGTCGGTGCACCCACCTCCGGCAGCCCTCCTCCTCCTCCTCCTCCTCCTCCTCCTCCTCCTCCTGCTCCTCCTGCTCCTCCTCCTCCTCCCCCTCCTCCTCCTCCTCCTCCTCCTCCTCCTCCTCCTCCTCATCCCTCATCCTCCTCCTCCTCCTCCTCCTCCTCCTCCTCCTGCTCCTCCTCCTCCTCCTCCTCCTGCCGTCAGGCCGAAGCAATTTTCAGATGCCTCGCCACCGCGGATAAGCGGTGCAGCCTGGGCTCCGTGTGGCACCGCCCGAATGCGGTGTGGGTCCGATGATGTCACGCTCCTTATCCCGCCCGCTCGCGGGTGCGATAAGGAACGGGCGGAGGGCGGCACTTCCCTCTGGGAGGTTCGTGGTCGTTCGTTGTCGTCCTTCGTGTCTCGCTCCGTCGTCGTCTCCGTCGCCCTTTCCTCTTTGGGAATTGCGGCACGGCCCTGGATTTAGTTCCGGGGTGGACGTTGTTTGCGCTCCTGGGCCAGAGAGTGGCCCTCCCCCCCCTCCCCGCCCTGCTGCCGCCGCTGTGCCCTGCCACCTCGGCCAAGAGGTGCGGCCTGGGCGCGGGGAGACCCCAAATGGCACCTCCTGGTCTGAGGTGAACCGCCGTTGACGATCACGGAGGCGGGGCCCGCGGCTTCCTGCCTGCAACCTCATGGTTGCAGTGCCCTTTGCCGCGGGCATACTGTTGCCGTGCTTGTGGGGGTGCGGGCGCTGGGCAACGCTCCGCGTTTTGTCCCTTGGGCGCCGATCCCGAACCCCCATGCGCCAATTTGGCGCGGGGTGTAGGGCGGTCCTTGGTTTGCTTTCTTTTTCTTGATTTGCTCCCTATGGTACAGCGTTCCTGGCGCTGTTGAGAGTTGGTCAGGAAAAGGAAGCCCGAGGTCAGGTCCCAGCTTGTGTCCGTGATTCCCCCTTTTTGCGCGTGTGCCCTTGGTGCTGGCCGTTGGCCACGTTGGCAGTTGGCCAGGGCACGTTGGCCCGCGCTAAGTTGAGCGCCGCGGTTTTGTTCTGCCTCCCCAGTCCCCGGTCCCCAGTCCCCAGTCCTGGGTCCCAGGTCCCTGGTCCCTGGTCCCTGGTCCCCGGTCCCTGGTCCCTGGTTCCTGGTCCCCGGTCCCTGGTCATGGTCCCCGGTGCCCAGTTCCGGGTCCCTGGTCCCCGGTCCTTGGTCCCTGTTCCAAAATTTTTAATAAGAGGCGTTCACGGTGTTCAGAAAGTTCCTCGTCCAAGAACCACGGCTTGCGCGTCCCCCGTGCAGGCGGCGGCAACACCTTCGAGCGTCCAAAGAACGGCAGGATGTTCGACATGATGTGGTTTGGACATTTCCCCCCCCCCCCCCAAAAAAAGAAAATCAGACACGAGGCTGTGGCTTAAAACCATGTTCAACATGATGTGGCTTGGATTTTCAACATGAGGTATCCACATGTATGAGTTTTCGTTGACACCATGTTTTTTTATATCATTCCCAAACATTATTAAACATTACTTGTACACAAGACCCAGCGCGGATAGCCAGAAAACGATGGCGACCTACTTGCTTTTGACGTCTGTCGGGCGGCACAACCTTGCCTGTGGGCCAACAATAACAGTGTTGCTTGGTTTCGTCTCGGACGATGTGAACATCGGTGCTGACACTCTCGACGCGCGCTACGGCGCAAGCTTCCAGGGTCATCGCGAGCCATGGCGATCATGCAGATAAACCATACTGAGGGGGACGAGTGTGAAGATGATGATTGGGACGGGGACGAAATGCGGGTTGAGATGGACGTGGGAATGAGGACGAGTCTGATCCTGGAGAGGTGTCGAGGGCCTCCACCACCCGTGCCCAGTTTTTGGAGCTGTGGCCAACGGTGAAGGCAGAAGCTTCCGAAAACCGAGCAGTCGCCCGTGCCCAGCTTGGAGCTGTGGCCAGCAGCGAGAGGCAGAACCTTCCGAAGAACTGCGAACGGCAACCTTCGAACCGCGGAAAGCATCCGAAGACGACGGCACCGACTCGGCTACGACGATTGCGGGACTGGAAAATGACCACAGCCACTGCTTCTTGTTTGCGCCACCTTCCAGCCGGCCAAAAAAGAAGCAGTGGCTGTGGTCATTTCCCTGGTGCCAAGCTTAACGAAAATGACCACAACCGCTGCCTTGATTCTGCTGGCTGGAAGGCGGCAACAAAAGAAAAGCAGTGGCTGTGGTCGTTTTCACGCCCCGCATCGACGACCACCACCGCCACCACGACCACGACCCAAACCGCGAGGCCACGAGGCCGACGAGGCCCACGAGGCCAACGAGGCCAACGAGGCCACAAGGCCACGACTCCGGCGCGCCCGAGGCCGAGCGCCCCGAGGGAAGCCTCGCCCCCGCGTCCCGCCACGTGGGTCGCTTTGGGGATCTTCGACGGGGAGGTGGAGGAGGAGGAGGGGGAGGAGGAGGAGGAGGAGGAGGAGGAGGAGGAGGAGGAGGAGGAGGAGGAGGAGGAGGAGTAGGAGGGGGAGGGGAGAAGGGGAAGGAAGGAAGCGGGAGGAGGAGGGGGGGGGAGGGGGGGGGGAGGAGGAGAAGGAGAGGGGGAGGAGGAGGAGGACGAGGGGGCATAGCACCCCTCCCCTGGCGCTGGTCAGGAAGCGCACGCTTTGTCACCAGCCCCAGAGGATGCCAGGCAAGTAAGCAGGGCCCAGTGCCACCAGCACGCGGAGGCGACACCCGCCGTGCTGCTGGAGCGCGTCCTGGGGCGTGGCAGCGGCCAGTTCGGGACTCCTGAGCCCACATGCACTGGAGCCCACCTCGCCCAACTTCACATCTCTCGCCCAAAATCCAGAACACGCGGGCCACACAGCGGTTCACACGGCATGATTTCTACTCGCGCCCTCGGCCCTGTCGCGCGTCCTCCTGCGCGAACAGCCACATGGTCTCGGCCCACACCTGGCCGCCCATCGGAGCGAGCTTCGATAGGCAGCGATTGCAGGACTCTTCCGACTGGGAGAAGGCATGGGCCAGAAAACAAACTGGGTGAGAAGAACGAGCTGTGGGAACGAACGAGGGGGAGGCACCAGAGCGGTTGATTGATACTTCATACAGCTACCTTCACAAGCAATGCATGTACGCATGCGTGCACGCTGCAACATCATCATCATCATCATCATCATCATCATCATCAGCAGCAGCAGCATCAGCATCATCATCATCATCATCATCATCATCATCATCATCATCATCATCATCATCATCATCAGCAGCAGCAGCAGCAGCAGCAAAAAGCATCATCATCAGCAGCATCATCAGCAGCATATCATCATCATCAGCAGCAACATCATCAGCATCATCCTCATCATCATCGTCATCATCATCATCATCATCATCATCATCATCATCATCATCATCATCATCATCATCATCATCATAAACATCATCATCAGCATCATCATCAGCATAATCATCCTCATCATCAGCATCACCACCATAATCAACATCATCAGCCTCATCATCATCATCATTATCATCATCATCAGCATCATCATCAGCATCATCATCGGCATCATCAGCATCATCATCAGCAGCATCATCAGCATCATCAGCATCAACATCATCATCATCAGCATCGGCATCAGCATCACTATCATGATCATCATCATCATCATCAGCAGCAGCAGCATATAAGCACTACGAACAACAGTCATAGAAATCATAATAATAACAATCATCATCGTCAGCATCAACATCATCATGATGGGCATAATCATAATCAGAATGAGAAGAATGATAAAAAATTATAATATATTATCATCATCGTCGTCGTAGCCGTCATCATCGTCATTAGCATCATCATCATCGTCAGCAGCAGTATTATCATCATATTATTCAGCATCAGCATCATCATCATCAGCAGCAGCAGCATCATCAGCATCATCATCATCATCATCATCATCATCATCAGCAGCATCATAATCATCATCATCCCCCTTCTCGTTCTCCTTCTCCTCCTCCTCCTCCTCCTCCTCCTCCTCCTCCTCCTGAGGCAAGCCCAACCTAATCCCCGAGGCAGGGCCGCATCTTTGGGAGGCGCCTGCTGGAAGAATTTGACGTTCTCCTGCCAACGCCGAGGAGGGAGGGAGGAGGGAGGAGGGGGAGTGGGGAGGGAGGGAGGGAGGAGGGATGGGGGGATGGGGGGAGGGGGGAGGGGAGAGAAGGAAGGGGGGAGGAGGGCGGCGGGAGAAGGGAGGAGGCCGGAGAAAGAGGGAGGCTGGAGGAGGGAGGAGGGAGGAGGGAGGGAGGGAAGAGGGAGAAGTACGGAGGGAGAGGGGCGGGGACAAGTCAGGTACGCCGGCGTCTGTCATTCTTTTCCCGATCAGCCCACGCGCGCCATAGAGGACCTGGACCTGGGAGCTGCGTACTTGGAGGAGGTGGCGGGTGGGCAGGAAGATGAGCAGGGGGAAAAGGAGGGAATGTGGAATGAGGAGAACGAGGACGAACCGCAACAGCAGGAGCTGGAGTGGAAGGAGCGGGGGAGGGGACCATTGGCCCGCCCATCCCACCGCAGGAAGTGCCTCCTTGAGCGACGGGCGATCCAGTCCTGCATATCAGGCGAGAACCTGTTTTGAAAAAGGACGGTCATCCACGCTACACTTCTAGCTACAAGGACGGCGACGAGGTAGAAGCAGAAGCTCAAGAGAGGTGCCCAGCGAGAGCCCCATTGCAAAAGTACCCCCCCCCGTCCGTACAGTGGGTCTCACGTGTGAGAGAACTGATCACAAAACGTCAGGCGGCCTCAAGAGGGAGCCCCGCTTTCAGAAGGAGTCGCCCCCCATCTGCACAGCTGCTGTACAAGGGTATATGACTCGTCGTCAGCAGCAGTATAGAACGAGTCACGCGAAAAAGCAGTGTTGAAAAAGAGCCGCCCTCCATCCATATTGGAAACGAACCAGCCTCCATCCGCGCAGCTGTTCGCAGTTGTGTCGACGAATGCACGCGGGGCCAAGCGACAAATGTGGCCCCCTCCATCCGTGGAACTGGCGAAAGCTGTGAAGAGACGTGTGCGCGGCGATACGGCGAGCTCCACATGTTCAAAACGAACCGGACCCGACCAGTGTAACTGTTGGGAGAGTGTAAAACGTATGTTCGCGGCGCCATGGCGAGAGCCACAGTTTGAAAACCACAGTTTGATACGAATGCGCGCGGCGTTACAGCGAGAACCACATGTTGAAAACCAACCGCCCTCCCACCGTGTAGATGATCAAAGTTGTTGAGGGTTTCAGGCTTCGGGGTCATGAGCGGGCAGGAAATCTCCGGCGAAACGCCCAGCCCGCCCTACAGATGCGCCTCGTGGTCAGACGACGAGGAATTAATTATCCTTGAGGAAAAGGGGTGGAACAGGGGGAGAGAGGGAGGGAAGGAGAGGAAGAGGAGGAGGAGGAGGAGGAGGAGGAGGAGAGGAGAAGGTGAGGGAAGAGGAGAGGAGGGAGGGAGGGGAAGGGGGGGCAAGGAGGAGGAAGGGAGGGAGGAAGGGAGGAAAAATGGAGATAGGGATAGAAGGAGGGAGGAAGGACACGGGAAGGAGGAGGGGATGGGAGAGGAGGGATGAAGGACGAAGGAGGGGGGAGGAAGAGGAGGAGGAGGAAGAGGAGGAAGAGGAGGAGGAGAAGGAGGAGGAGGAGGAGGAAGAGGAGGAGAAGGAAGAGAAGGAGGAGGAGGAGGAGGAGGAGGAGGAGGAGGATGTGGGGGAGGGGGGGAGGAGGGAGGGAGGGAGGGAGGGGGAGCGAGGCAGAGCGCCCTCGCTGCACACGTCTCATACTTCGCTGCGATTCGCTCGATCGGGCTTCGCACGCGCCAAACGACACCGGGAGAGAGGGGGGAGGGCGGAAGAGAGCTGGAACCGACCCCGACCCGTGGAGAACGGGTCGCGGATCGATCGGCACGCACCATCGGATCGATCGAGTCGTCGACGGCCCGGCCGCGCCTTCCCCCCCGCCCCCAGGCACGCCTCCTTCGGGCACCCTGAAAGCCCTCGGTTCAGAGAGTTGGCCCCTGCCAGCCACCATGGCGGCAGGAGAAGTTGGGACTACTGGAGTGCAAGACGTCGGTGTGCCTGCACGCCGAAACCCGTCGCGTCAGCAGTCCTGGCATCTCAGGTTCTCGCTGTGTGTGAGGGAAGGGATTATCAGAGAGCCAACCCTACCTGAGGCCCGTAGGATGAAGACGACCGAAACTTCCTCCTTTGAGGCGAAGAGAAACCCACTGTGAACATCTGAGCCGACAGGGCAGCGAAAGAGGACAGCAAGGAGGCGAGCGAGGGTACACACACACTTTTTAAGTTGCAGCGCGGCAAAGGCAGTCCGCACGCGCGCTCGGCAAGTCGGGAAACGGCATTGCGAATTGCCCGGATGCAAGAATAAGAGGAGGGAGAGGAGGAACGACCGCGGGAAAGAGGGGAGGAGGGCTACGCGCTCACGCGGCGGGGACCGCAGCGTGGCGCCCGGGGCAGCCAAGCCGGTGGTGCACCCGTGGAAGCGGGCACGGGACGGCGTCGCGACCACACCAAGGGGCCCGGGCAGTGGCTGCAGTGCGGGGGGGCTGTGGACAAGCAATTGAGGATGCGTGACACACGCGCACACACACACACACACACACCCACACACACCCACATACACACACGTGGTACTTCTCTGGGGACAGGTCGGGGAACTGAAGCAACACGGGCTCCGTATCCTGACCGCCGCATCCCGACTGCGGCCAGAGAGTCCGAGCACTGACCCCGCCAGCTGACGCCGCCGGCTTCTCCGCCAAGGCGCGCACGCCGTCAGAGGGGCGCCTTGCCGGCGAAACCTCGCCCTCGCTCAACGCTGCCATTCTCCAATTCTGGTCCGCATCCCCAGGCGGCGTTCCACCAATGAGGGCAATCGGTGCGGATTGGTTGATTGATTGAGCATTTCGGCGAGATGACGGGTCGGCTCCTCTGCTAGGCCTTGCCAGGCCCGCACCAGAGGAGCCCCGAGAGGGCCCCTGGAGACAACAGCAGAAAAAGCAGCAGCAGCAGCAGCAGCAGGAGGGGCGGATGGAATGGGGGAGGGCGAGCAGGAGGACGGAAGAGGGAAGAGGAACAACGAAGATAGGGAGGGCAAAGGAGGGAGGGAAGGAAAAGAGGAGGAGGAGGAGGAAGAGGAGGAAGAGGAGGAGGAGAGCGCCGCGTTCGTACAAGAGGGGGGCTCTTGGCCGAGAAGACCGGACAGCGGAGGAGGGCAGAACGCTGAAGAGAACGTGGCCAAGGACCAAGCGAACAGCAGAAATTGGTGAACGACGAGGAGAGGGGGACGCAGGAGGGGCGAGGAGAGGCGAGGAGGGCAGAGGACGGGGGAGGAGGGAACAGTGGAGGAGGGAGAGACCAGGGGGGGGGGGCCCAAAAAAAAGTCAACGATGCTGTGACACACCCTCCCGTCCCGGGCCCCCTCCCCCACAGGTTCCGCCAGCACTCCCTCCCACTTCAGGAAGCACCACCCTTCGAAAGCCCAGCGTCCCGCGAGCCTGCCACGCAGGCGACGGCCCCGTTTCGGACAGGGCCCAGCTGCCCCGTAGCCTTCCAGCAGGCGTGGGGAAACGCGCCACGGCATGAGCACACAGATCAACGAGGCGTCGAGCAAGGTCCCCGCTTGTGACAAGAAGCCATCCCCAACTGTGCAGCCCTTGTAGAACTCGACACTCCTGGCCATGAACATCGAGGGAGGCTGGCGAGGGTGCGGGCGCACGAAGCTGGTCCCGCGGGACGGGGCCCTGCGAGGGCAGCGCGGTGGGGCCGGAGCCCCCCAGAAGTCGCTGAACTGGGGGAGTGTACTGGACGTACGCTTAGAACCGACGTTCTCTGAGGGGACGGCGTAGTGCGTGTGGGAATGCATGGGCCATTGGAGAGAAGACGACCAAGCGCGCTGCGCACGGAAACGTGCCGAACGCCCACCAGTGCGAGACGCTGCGATGACATGCAGTGTTTAAAACATTATCCCAGTGCGACCCTTCCTAGGAGTTGGAACCCCCAGGAAAGCAGCATTAGCAGTAACAGTAACGCTAAGCTAAAGCTAAGCTAAAGCTAAGCTAAAGCTAAGCTAAAGCTAAAGCTAAGCCACGGCTAAGCTAAAGCTAAGCTAAAGCTAAGCTAAAGCTAAGCTAAAGCTAAGCTAAAGCTGAGCAACAGCTAAGCTAAAGCTAAGCTACAGCTAAGCTAAAGATAAGCTAAAGTTAAGCTAAAGCTAAGCTAAAGCTAAGCTAAAGCTAAGCTAAAGCTAAGCTAACGCTAAACTCAAGCTAAGCTAAAGCTAAGCTAAAGCTAAGCTAAAGCTAAGCTAAACGCCAAGCGAAAAGCTAAGCGAAACGCTAAGCTAAAGCTAAGCTACAGCTAAGCTAAAGCTAAGCTAAAGCTAAGCTAAAGCTAAAGCTAAAGCTCCCAGGGGACTGGGGGGAACCGCTCCCAGGGGACTGGGGGAACCGCCCGGGGCGCTTTCCACTGCCCGACCCCTTTAAGCTAAGAGAGTAAGAACCCTTCTAGGCAGAGCCTAGGTAGGGAATAAATGAATGAGATGCCAGACGTGTGCATCTGACCGCAGACAAACAAAACACGGTGATCAAGTGATGGTTGGCCTACCGCATCCTCGAATACGATGCCGCTCGGGGCGCACTCCCGGACTTTCGCTACAGGAGAGCGTTTTCCTCAACCGACTGTGCTTCGCTGTCCTGAAAACCTCCATACATTCCCCTGGCATGTCTTGCAAGATCAGTTCTGCCGTTTCTCCTGGTGGCACGGTCTCCCCAGCTCTCGCTCACGGGGTATTTGCCAAGATCTGACCACATACGTGTCATCGATCTTGAAGAAATCAACCAACACATGAACTTGCTCCACCATATCTAGTCGGCGCATCAAGCCATCTATTGCATCTGTCACCGTGCCCACCTTGGTACTGATACGCTTAATTTCAACAAAAAATGTGTGGAACACACACCTTCTGTGAATGCTTACTCGGCAGGATTCCACCTTGTCCAAAATTGCAGCGCACCGTCCAAACAATAGGCTGGCGGCGTTCCACCCGAATCGATAGTCGATAGAACACCACGACAAGGCTCATCCACACAGAGCGTAATTATGCTAAACTCGAATTTTCGATAAGCGGATCTGCACAAAACCCTGGAGCCAGAGACTTCAGCGTAGAGAAAGTCCCAGGTGAAAGCCCCGTTTTGAAAGGAGCCACTCTTCATCCGTGCTGCTGTACCAGATGTTCAACTAGAACCATCGCGCACGCTTCGCGCGCGCTCAAATTCTACCTGGCTTCTTGGGGCCTCCTCGGAGCATCCTGGACTGCTTCTTGAGGTCGTCATGGGACCTTCTTGGCATGTCTTCGGGGGCCTGCTCGGAAGAGTTCTGAAGCCTCTTCGGGGTGCCGTCTTCGGGCCTCATTGGAGCCTCTTTTGGGGCTTCTTGGGGGCCTCCTGGGGCCTCTTGGGGGCCTCTTGGGGCCTCTTGGGGGCTTCCTGGGGGCCTCTTGGGGCCTCTCGGGGGCATCTTGGGGCGGAGAGCTTGCTTTTTCAGTTCGCGCTCCCTCTTGGGCCCCTCTTGGGGCCTTCTTGGGACCCTCTTGCGCCGCCTTGGGCGGCTCTGGGGCCGTCTCGGGGCTCTCCTGGGCCGTCTTGGGGTCCCGATTTGAACATCGACGATTTTGCCCCCTCGGGGTGCTCTTGGGCGGCATCTCAAAGGCCTCTTGGAGCGAATTGGGGGCCTCCGGGGCAGTTTAAAACGCATCGTGCGTCGCCAGAGACCCCTGGACGGCGTCTTGGGGGTGTCTCGAGACCGCACGGGGCCGCCAGGATTGCTGTCTGAAGGCTCCCCAGGGCGGTTAAGCCTCCCAGAGGCGGGCCCAGGCCCCGGTCCCCACATTTGTGGTCGAGGTTCCGGCCCTCGGCCCCCGAGCCCAGTGCGCCCTCATATGTATATACTCTGTCTTCAAGTTGACACTATTCTCAAGCAAACGCCCAATATTGAAAAGGAGCATCCTTTTATATGTGCAGCCGTTGTATCTGCTCAGACTCGAGGTCTTTAAAATTGACGAGGTCTCATCAGAAGCCCAACTTCGAAAGGAACTCCCAACAACCCCTGTAAGCGTGCGGCACTCAGGCGAGAGCTACACGTTGAAAAGGAACAGCCCTCCATCGTTGAAACTGCTGCAAACTTTTGAGACGAATGCGCGAGGCACTAAAGCGATAACCCCATTCTGAACACCACATGCCCCCAATCCGTGAAACTGCTAGAAAAAAACACTTGCGCGCGGAGCTACGGCGAGAGCTCCATCTTGAAAACGACCCCCCCTTCATCTTTGAAGCTGTTGCAAGCTTGTAAAACAACTGTGCACGGCGCTAAGGCGAGAGCCACGCCATGAAAACCACCAGCCTTCCATCCTTGAAACTGATGCACAAGTCAGGATGCATGTTTTATAAATCATGGAGAAGACTCAAGCGAAACGCCCAGCCCGCCCTACCAACACGTTTGGGGGTGCTATAGGAATGGCATGATCATAAAGATTGGGGAAGACTCAGGCGAAACGCCCGGCCCGCCCTACCGACACGTTTGGGGGTACTATAGGAATGAGCTACTTATAAGGAAAATGGACGGCGGGGAGGGAGGACGGGGAGGAGGCTGAGGAGCAAGGAGAGGGGGAGGAGAGAAGCAGCGTAAGTAGAAGAGGGGGAGAGGGAGGACATGAAAGGACGCGAGACGAGTGACAGCGAGCCCTGCGACGCCCAGTCCGACATGCAGTGGTGCATGTCGATGTGCACCGGCATCGGATAGTCGCTGCGGGCGGATGGGGGGGGGGCGCCGGGAGGACGGCCACTCGGAAGCCGAGGCCGCCAACCGCCGTGAGCCTGCACCGCGCGCTGCCAGGCCCGCCCCAGGCCCAGGACCAGCGGGCGAGCGCGCCGATCTGGGGCCCAGCCCTCCTCCTCCTCCTCCTCCTCCTC